TCAGTTTTTGTGCCAGTTTAAATTACTTCCTTTGCTAGTCATGCTGTTCTCACAAGTCTACCCTTATTTGACTTAATCACCAGCGTTTTGGGCAGTTAGGCCTCCACTCTCAAATCCAGCTCTAAATTCTCCCTGGGTGCACTCCAAGACAGGTTAAAAGCTTGTCTGCAGCTGCCGCGTTTAACAGAGCTCGCGTCTGGACCCTGCCAGGTAGCAGTGACTGCAAGCAGAGCTTAGTAATGCAAAACAGGGAAGCCAAGCAATGCTGACAGGAATTAAGAAGCCATAGTCAAATTTCCTTAAAAAGAGAAAAAAAATAGATCTGCAACTTGAGAAGCTGTGTAGTGAGAAATTTTTTGCACTGTGGTCAAACCTGTTGTCATCATCTTCATTACTTATGATAAGACAATTAAATGCTGCATAATAACACGTACAAGGAACTCTGTGTATATGCATATGAGAAAAAAAATCCTCCACAAAGTAAAACTACTATGAAAAAGCCAAGAAGTCACATAAACTTTGTTTAGTTAAAGTATTCATGGCTAACATAGAGACAAGTTGGGTTTCATTATGACAGAAAATGAGGTTTCCGATGACAATTTTATCCATAAATGGAAAATTAAAAAGTTGACTAGATATGATTTCACGCTTCAATTTTTATTGAAAGTGAACTATTAAAATCAGAGCTTGCTTGACATTCGGTTTCAGCAAATCTTTCATTCTTTCCATAAACAGCAGAATTTTGACACAACTTCTCTTTTACATTTTCCATAAATGTCATGGAAAAATTAGTGTGATACTCCAGCAAACTAACATGTTACTGGTTTTCATGTCATTATCCTTATTTCTCTTCTGGAGAAACACAAACTGCCACAGAATTGTTTGGACTCTTAGTACACACATAGCTGTCGCTTCAGATACAAAAGGGCTGATCTTTGGTTAGTAATAGCTGGCATGGCTCCACAGAAATAAGTGGAGCTACAGTGATTTGCACTAGCTGATGATTCAGCCATTGCTCTATATCACTCAGTATGTCCCACTTTGAATGTGGCATTTTCTTCCTTTTCGTGTCAGATGATAAGATTGTATACCAAGACTTTATTTTCCTTCCCATCTGATATTTACGTGACATCCAAAATGAAGAAAAATATCAGCATTGATAAATTATTTTAATGTAGTTTCTTTCTGCCTGACATTGTCTCAAAGTTCCTTGACACTAGCTGAGTACTAGTACTGGAAAGTACTATAAATCATCAATGAAGTATATACATGAAGTGTAATTATACTATAGGTTGCATATTCTTTATGTCTCTCTCTTTTTTTGGATTGTCAGCTAAAAGGTTTTTCTGACTTCGTATTTTTTCCTCAGAGGGAAAAAAAGAGTTTGGTTGTGTTTTCTTTCATTTGTTGCAGTTCTAAAAACACGAAGAATGACCAATATAAAGATTTTCAATAAAGAAACAAATGAGTGTAACTCAAATTAAGTATTTTATTCCATTCCTAAAAATAACTTAATATCCGTAGTGTGATGAACGAGTTGACCTACAGAGAGGCGAGTCTGCAGAAATGTTAACCATGCTAGTTTTTAGTATTCGTGCTGGGAAACTTCAGTGAACTCTGCCCCAGCAGGTCACCAAGAGCTGGACCAGGAGAAAAGGTTGTCTTGGGCAGCTCGCCCTTGGCTGCTTATCATCTGTCCCTCGTAGGTGTTACCTCCTACCTTTTTCTCCGCAGATCTGCCAGCTGATTTACTTGCAAGATTGACACTTAATTTGACTTCGGTCAAATTGCACAAAGCTGGGAAAATTAACATGTTTTGACAGAAACCCGAAGGTGTGAACACACAAACCCTGTGTTGGCAGATCTGAGGGAGTGCAGAAACAAAAATAGCAGTAGGGCGCAGACTGAAGAGATAAAACTCTTCTGCTAGAAGCCTTATCCAATATCTTGCACTTTGTTCAGGCCACCTTCTGCAGAAGTCCTTGTAATAGATGTAGACATTGTAAAGATAAACCAGATAGGTAACTGAATGCACTTAAAGGAATAGGACACTCTCCTTTTCTCCTAAAATACCCAGCACTGTTTATTTGTCAGAATAAACACAGAAATCAAAAATCAGAACTAAGATACCCAAAGTGATCTGTCAGTCTAACCCCAGGACTGCAAAGTCAAGGGACCTTAAGGCAGGGAAAATTGAGTAAATAAACTTTGCAGAAAAAATAAATAAATATTAACTTAGGTGCGTGCTCTGCGCCTAAAGACGGTTACTGCTCTGCTGCCCTCAAGCCAGCACGTCTACCTGGCGCTCTGTGGCGGTGTGCAGAACTTGCAGCTTAGTTTAGCTCCCCCTTGGGGAGGTCTGTGCACAGTAAAAATCCTCAGACTGCCCCAGGAATTTTGGGGGCATATGCTCAGAAACCCTAAGTTAGCACATAAGGGCCTACTAAGGCATACATTTTGTAGATGTATTTTACTTAACCACGTTGAAGTTTTCGACTTCTACTTTGAAACTGTTGATCGGGCAACGCAGGTAATTGTTTCTTATGATACCTGGGAGCCTGTTCAACCACACGGAGTCATCTCTCGGTAAGCGTCACCGGCAACCGCACTAGTTTGCGCAGTGGGATGCTCTGACTCGCCCAGTCGGGTGAAACTGCCCCGGCTGCGCCGAGACGGGGCGGCCGGGGCCAGCGCAGGCAGAGCCTCACACCCGGCACAGGGTCGTACCGAAACACCGCCCGCATCTTCTCCGGGGGAGGAAGAGGTAGTGAAGCCTGTCAAAGCTTCCTATATAGACAAGCAATACCCACGCACGCCGGGGGAGAGCCTTTTCCCTTTTCATCCAGTAGTCAGGGGGGCTTACAGCGAAACCCTTCCTGCAGTCTGCAGATGCGACCTAGGACGTTATAACGATTTATACGGAGTAAAAGCCGTGGAGGGGTTCTCGGGAGGTCCTGCTTGTGCGGAGCTTTTATCGCCCGCCAGGGGCTCGCT